ATGAAAAACGTGCAGTGTGCAGTACTACTTTCCCACATAATAACCACGTACCTTTAATAGAAGGAAGAGTACTTAAGTAGTGTGCACCAAATCAATATTTTGATCTATCTACAACGTGTCCCAGTTCTACAGAATGAGCGCATCGCATAAATTGCAATTGAGATCTGAAATGCCCAAATCAAAAAGAGAACGCACTTGATCTAGAATGACATAGAAATGCAGACGGCAGGTACACACAGAGATATTTATTAAATCGAGAATAATTTATTTATAAATACAAAAAAAAAATTGTTCCAATTAAATAAACGTTTCCTTGATAGAAGAAATTTTATTTTATCATTTGAGATATTTCTTTAAAATTTCTTACGTTTACAAGTTCAATTAGCCACATTTCCTTGGTATTTCTAACAAATGAATACCAAATGTACCAGATGGTCTACCTCTTGGTATTTACAGTATTTATCAACTGAAGTCATTTGGAATATTTCTTTGACCGTACCAATCCGCATATAAAATTTTTGTCGCATAATATGTATTTTCATTGCACGGAAAATATACATCTAACCCTATCCACTATTACACTATTAGTGTAAACCCCTTATATTTCACTTTGATACACTATAGGTGACTAAAGATATTAATTGAATACTCTTAAATGTACCTACTTAAAGAAAAATTAAAATAACAAATCAACACAAATACGCCAATTCGTCAATCCCTGTCATCTGAGACAATGATCATAGAGTTCGGGAATACACGGTCCTTAACAGAACCGGACTCAGTTTGCCAGCGTAAAGATTAATATATTCACACAAAATATAACGCGACATATTTAGAGTACTAAAACTAAATATAAAAGTTAAGAAAATACATAAAAGTAAAAACACCGTGCAAAGTTTAGAGTTGTGACAACGTCTACGTTATCTGGAGTACATCTTTCAATAGTAACTTTTGATAGGAAAATGACACTAAATTGAAACATTTGTCTTTAAATAGACTCTAAACATGTGTATATTTGGAAACTGTAACGATTTTAAAATTGCAAATCAAATGTCTACTAAAAATTTTGAAAGATGATCTGATTACATAATGTTTTAATTATTGGGAAAGATTTATTTATTTTACAATATAGTGAGATTTTGGATAGTGGAGAATAACAAGCAAATTGTTCCGGATAAAAAAAAATCACAATTTTTTTTCAAAATTGGCTCAGGAGAAAAATTAGCAGAGGATGACTTGCGGAAGTTATAGTTTCCAAATATGTATGTACCTTTTTAAAGGTTATTAAAAAATATTTGCGCATCATTTGTTTTTTACTTTTTATATTACTGTTTTCTTTTCCGTGTAATTTAAATTTACGTATTTGTTTACTGCAAAAAATGGTAAATTATGATAAAAAATAAGACAAAATAGTTATTTACATCATAAAGGAGGTTTTAAAAAATTTTAAAATTGGTACTAAATGTAATAACTACAATTACTATAAATATGCATTCATAATAATTAATAAAATGTAATGTTCATCAAATATTTCTATTTATTTGTTCATAAAATATGCATTTATAACTCGAAATCGCCTTTTTTCCTGGAGGGGGGGGGAGGTAAGTTACCACACTTACCTCCTATTGTCCATAGCAACTTCCACTTATACGGTAAAATCCACTTACCTCCTTAAAAACAATGTATGAATAGTCTATTTACTATAGTGGGAGCAGATAAAATCCTGTACACTGTAAGTTAAAGTGAATCCCTCTACATTATAACTCAAAATTATTAAAAAGTTATTAAAAAAATTATAAAATTAACTTTGAACGCCAATAACTTTTTTTGGCAACTTTTTTATCTGAAGAAGAGTGGCTAAATCCTTCCCTAGAACCAGCCACCAAACTTTCCCAGTTACCCTGTATATACAACTCAATGCAGTATTCTCTATAAGTATTTACGAGTAGTACATGCCTATTTTATGTAATAGAAATATCACCGTATAGGTTTTTAAACCTTGTTGTTTCCCGGAACGTCAACAAACCACGTACCACCACGTATGCTCATTTAAAGCATCCCGATTTCTGTACCATCACCAGATCAGATCGAACAATGATAAAACCACTCACCTTTTACCTTCCCTGAAGAGAGTTTCCTCCACAGCACAGTTGGTCACCGTGACTGCCTGACCACGTCTTAGGCCATAGAAACGAGCGTGTTGTTCAGTCTATGACAACAGGTCGACTGTCGGCCGGAGCGTCGCGACGGCCTCGACGGGCGTCCCTTCCACTACGACAGCGCCACGGAAAACCACCACCACCAGGGCCAATCGATAGGTGCAACCGGACCTATGTTATACGGGAGACGTTAGGAAGTTGGGGGAAAATTCAAGGCACGTGACTGAAACAACGTGCTACTCGATCGGTATGGTAACAAACGTAACATAACCTCAAAATTAAAGCCGTTTTTCGAACTGTAATAGTGAGTTTATGGAAAAAACGTCTTAATCTTGACTTAACACTTAGTTGCTTTTCCTTAATCGTAAGCTCTAATCTTAGTCTTAGTCGTGATGTGTTTTGCCCTGTCAGCGCATGACGTCAGTAATCACCACCCCAACGACACCCCCCCCCCCCGTCCGCTAACCTTTTCTGTTTCAGAGACATCCAGGATCAAGAAACGAAGACAACGACACACACACACACATACACACCCCCATACCCTCCTTACCCCTCCCCTCCCGCGCTATCCTAAGGGCCACCTTAGCAAAGCGCATCCCAGGCTGCATAGCCGCACTGCCCTACCCAACCATACCACACATAAATATGACACCACCCCCGGGGTTTACACAGACGAGTCGGCGAAGCAAGAAGAGCGCCAGAAGAAAGGACCCTAGCCGGCGGGGCCCAGCCAGGACAAAAGGAGGTCCCACAAAGCGCCTACACCGGCCGCATTTGCAGTCGGGGTAGACGACGGATGGGGCCCACCTACGAAGGCTGTCCAGGCCTACACGAGATGAGGCAGGATAAAGAGGGATAATCCCCCTCGATCCGAATAATGGCGCGGCGCGCGACGTCAGTAACAAGATTCAGACTTTTGTTTTCGCGTAAATAATAAGTATGTATTACTAATTATTGTAAGTTGTTCGTGAAACAAAAGACAAAAAACATTCAATTTCCATACTTGGTATGACATAAATCGTGCTTAAAAGTTAGTTTAAGTAAGTAGAGTCTAAACATAACCTTAAATATTATGTCAAATTTGAAATATGATAAGATTATTAGAAAAACGACAGAAATTTGTTGCATTCCCGGTACCTACCTTGACTTCATTAGAATCTCGTCAGTACAACGCGTAAGCGCAACATCTATATTTACACTATGATATTAACCCTAATGTTTTTATTTCGCTTATAAACAGTTGGTCCTAAACCTCAGAACTAGAAACGGAAGTGAACTTCTGAGCACGCGTACCTACTTAGTTCTAAAAGATAAAATATGTTATGGATTTTCAAGGTCAGGTCTTGAAACTTTAGTTCTAAAACTATAAACTTGCGTATTAAAAAATATAATTTAACGTTTTAGGACAAAGGCTAAGGCTAAGTTAGGAATAAGGGCTAGACATTGTCAATAATATACATATATGTATACAGAGATACGTACTACATATTTTGATTGGTGAATAACTAAATTTATATTTACCTTTTAGAATAGGGACACTGCAGATTTTGCACTAGTTTTATTAAATTTTACATAAAATTTTGATGGAAAATGTGGAGCATTATCACACAAATTTTGACATTGATGACATTAGAATCAATCGAAAGAGAAAGACAGTAGACATTCTTTTGACATTGTTACACTCATGGCTTTCTTTCAAATGAAAAGTATCATAAATTTTGAGTTAGTGTCTCAATAAGGAATAATTGAATTGAGTAACATTTTCGAATCTGTTTCCATTTAACAAACGCATTTAATGCTTTGGGATAGTATTTTGAGACTACATTTTACGACTCATTTTTGAGTATCTATTATTTTTTAATTTAAGCTTACGACATAATTGTTTCGCAAAAAAATGATAGGAATCTTTTGTTAGAAATTATCTTTTAAATATAATGTAATTAGGGTATGAGTCAAAAAGTCAAAACAATTTAAAACTGCTATAGGTACATTTTAAATATTAAAAAATTATAGTACATACATATCGCAGCTGCTTTAGTTGGACATAAGTTATAGTCTATTGTGATTAGTCGTATCATGAGTTTTATTCAAAATGTTAATACCTAACCTTAAATCTGAAAAATAAATTTATCCGATTAGTGTAAAATGGAACCACTATTTTTTCGAACGATTTATTGGTTCAGAAAATGTTAAATCTTCAAAACCTACTTCTTTTATGTGTCAAATTAAATTTTAACAATTTTTTGAGGTTAGGAACTCCAAAACGTTTTGCGTTGCGTTGCATTTTTTCCGAAACTGGTTAATATTATCCACTTGGAATAAGATGACTTTTCTGTAAGATTTTTTGCAATGACCTTTATTAATTTGTTTAATTTTTTCAAGAACTGGAAATAAAAATATTATCATCAATACCATTTAAGTCCTTCAACGCTTTAGAATTTTGATTATTTTCGTAGGTGTAGTTCATTACCAATAAGAAATGCATCAAATTTGAAAAGAAAAGCATTTGACAGGTAAAGAAGTTACGGCAAAATATTAATTAAAAAAATTAAGTTTGAGGTTATGTAGCCCCGTTAATAATAAGATTTTAACAAAAGTGTGTTATATTTTAATTCAATACCGGTCTCAGCAGGATATTGCAGGTGTAACTCAATGCTGGTGGCAGCTTTTAGTCTGCAAAGTAGTGGTTGGCCACAATGCCATTAGTTAATGTGAGAATATTTATAATTTTATAATAATTTTAAAGTAATTGGTCACTATCTCGGCCAATGTTTGTACTCCAGCAAGTTTTTTGCAAATAAAACAACGCTTATCCTAAAAACAGTTTATATTTCACCTATCGGTACACGATATCGATACATATTGTCTGACTTGATTAAAACAAGCTTCAGGGTTGAAACCACAATGAAACGTCTTCACGTGGAAGTGAATTTTGATTCAAAATTACCCTGAGAATACAGTGTCTGACATTAGATAATAGTGCGCACTTGGCAGTGTTTATAATAACAACTTTTGAAATATCTAGTCATATGTACAATGTAAGCAGCTCTTAATATAATCATTAACTTATAATAATTTGATTTAAAACTGAATGTTTTTATTTTTAATACTTTTGACCGTTCAATTTCTTTATGTTGTTTTCTCGTAGTTCTTTTCATAGAAAATAAGTCAAAAGCGTTGTAAAGCACCAAAAGCCTCAATAGGTACTGGTCCTTGAGGTACACCTGCCTGGTGTTAAAATGCAAAATCCATGGGTATATTAAAAGCCACTAGATGTATTTTAAATTCACCTATCTAGGTATAATTGACATTTCTTTACAGTATACAAAATTAAATACCTAAAATTAAGCAATAACATAACATAACCATCAACAAAAGAAGTAAAAAATTGTTCCCTACCAACGACATTCCACCATAAATAAAAAAGTTCGTGTTAAAAACTTGTTTTTGTTGGGTGACAAATACGCTCACTTTAGTCAGGAAGAACACGATTCAGATGTAAATCTAAAACTACGTTTAACTCGCGGACCCGATCCAAGCTCAATTGAATTTCTTTTCGGATTGTTTGTGGACACCGTTGACCGCAGGTACGGGTATGAATCCGTTCTTGGATTTTACGACGTAGGTGTTTCCTTGTCCGCATCCAACATCCATTCCAAAGAATACTTGATTACCCTGAAAATGATATTTTTATAAAAAATTTAGAATAAATTCATAACATTATGCCCGCAGTTTTTACTGGATTTACATAAGTGTTCCTCAAGGGTATCATTTTGGACCAACATATTTCGTGGTGTACATTAACGACATTACTACTTAATATTTTACACTTTTACTATGTCATGAGACAGATTACCTCTTTTAAGAATACTTTAAATTTACAAATAAATTTTCCAATATAGACAATGAGTTCAGTAAATTATCAATGTAAAGGAAATTGAGTTATCCATAAGTTTTGTTAGGCTCATAAATTTGTCTGCACATTTATAAATAAATCAAGAGATTTCAGATTGGCTCTAAATCATATGTTAGGTTATAAACCGGCTATAAATAAAAATGATAAGAAATAGATCGCCGCCAGAAGTCTCTAGAGTGCATTTCGACGATTTGCCGCCTTCCATAAAATCCTGGAATAAAGAAAAACACATTCGTTTCCTTCGCAAGTTCGTACCATCCTAACATTTTATGGAGCTTTTTATAGAAGATTATTTTACTAGTCTTAAAACTACACAGTGTACTAAATATGTCCTAATCAGCAGTGTTTAAAATTAATTTTAATGTCAAACGTACTGCGAAGTATCCAGATCTAAGCCTAATTGGTTTATTGTATAGTGAGTGTTTTTTATTAATATTCTTACCTTTTCCATGTAAGCTTTAACGTAAAAGTTGCCGAATAGAACGATGAAAGACATCATGTAAATGATAAGAGTATAGTGCATCCATAATGGGAATTCACAACCAGTCCTCAATCCGTTGGCGCCCAATATCAAGGCACAAGTGAACTGGATCTGAAGAAAGAAAAAAATTATGTTTTTGGATAGTTTCATTAATTAAGACGTTTTTAACATTGACACTTCTTTGTATCAGTAATATTTAATGAATATAATACTCACCAATTGAAGGATAGTAAGGTATTTTTTCCACCACAAGTACTGAGTGATGTTGGGTCCTAAAACTGACAGGCCGTAATACAAGTACATAAGTACATGGATTCCTGAGTTGACCATTGCCGGCAAGAAGGCTAAAAAAAGTAGAATAATTATTTTTCCCGGAAAACATAACACATATTAATTGTTCACTCAAATACCATTGGTTCTACCACGACATTTCACTTTCCAAAAACAGGTCGACGTTTCAAAAAATGTGTTAAATTTAAATGTATATAAAATGTATGTACAGTGTTTCATTTTTTATCTTCGTAACTTTCAGAAACAATAAAACTAAGAAAACCAATGTGGGTTTGTTTAATAAACTTTATCCCAGAGACTTAAGGCACCAAATTTATTTTTTTTTTGTAATATTTCTTTTTTAATTATCTTACGGCATGCTACATTTGAATTGCCTATTGAAACTGTATTTTACTGGGTCGGCAAAATAAACTTCTGAACTTATATCTCGACACGGCTAGGAAATTGAAAAAAGATTAGGAAAACAGTGATAATATCTATTTTGGTAGTCAATCGCCAAAAAATTATGAAAATTTTAGCTAATAGGTACCTTAAAAAAGTGGTACTATGATGACAGTGATTCCTCAGTTCATTCCATAGATATTAAAAAAATATATATTAAAAAATTCAAATTTGGCGCCTTTCAGAGAAATGGTTTATGTTTATTAAACAAACCCACATTATTTTCCATAATTTCATTCATTCTGAAAGTTGCCAAGACAAACAGAAAAAATACCTTGTAATTTAATTCCAGGTATAAGTCGCAATATAAATCAGTAAAGCGAAAATAATAATTTTGACCTACGACTACTACTGTAAATACTTAAAAACACACCGTCTGCGATCAATGTAAGATTCCTATTACGTACGGTAAAAAAATCGCACAGTTTTCCTAGCAACCGCTCTTACTTTATACAGGGTGTTCCGTTCATGTTTAAAAAAAACTTGTGTGCAAGTTCCTCCTCATGGGAAAATAATAGGGGTAGTTCATGTAAATTTTTTTTCTTAGACGCCTTGTTTTCGAGATACAGTGTGTTGAAGTTGTTACTTTTCAAATGGTTTTCCTTAATTATCTTTAAATCGGATAAAGATAAAAATGTCAAAATTTGTACATGAGTGGACATTAACCGTGCGTTAAGAACAATGTGCAAACGGTTTCTTTTTGAAAAGCAGTGTCGCCGATACAGGTAATTGAAGGGGTACAATGGAAGAAAAAAATATATTAAAAGTCAACATTTATTACATTTCTAAACGGTTCTGTAAACTCTAAAGGATACTACAAAAAAAAGGTATACTTGTCGAAATTCGGTAGCATGTACCATTTTCGAGACAACTTTACATGAACTACCCCTATTATTTTTCCATGAGAAACTTGCACACTTTTTGAAACATGTATAAAAGATTAGAGTTTAAGAATTTTGTGTAACATCGACAACACTTTGGACTATCTACGTTACGCCTAAATTTTGTAGCGAAGTCAGCGATCCTCAATATGTTTTATATTAAAAAATCAGGTATGTTTATTTTAAATTTAATAATAATTTACCTATTTTTTCACAAAAAACTGTTGATGACATGTTCTACTTAGTAAAAGGTACCGATGTTTAAAATTTGTGTACACATTTATATTGATCCTGTATACAGCGTGTCCTAAGATTTTGCGTGCATGAAACTATCAAAAATGAGCTGGTTATGCATAGTAAAATAATTAAATAAGCGAAAACTATTGGCAATAAAACAATTCAAATGAGAAAAAACTTGAAAAATGACCCATATAATTATTTTAATTAGGTACTGTCAAAAGTGTAAGCTTATTTTTTATTTCAAAATGACTTACTGGAACCGCTGGGTACCCATTTGATTCCAATCCACCAAAAGCCGAACATGGTGGAATGATGGTAGACGTGAAGGAAGGTAAGTTGCCGATCCTTTTTCCTTAATATAAAGAAAAATGTGTCGCAGAACTCCAACAGCTTGGAGAAGTAGTACCACCAAACAGCATTGGCGATCTGAAATAAGAACATTCCTTAATTGATTCCTACTCAACCAGCTTGTAGACCGGAACTTAGTCCTCCAGACGTTTATTTTTCTTCAAATATAGACGTTTGAAAGTCAAAGAATCGAAGATTTACCTGCAATTCGTCCGGGTGATACTTCTCTCGGCAAGGTTCACAGATATAGCTGTACCTCAACCTCGTAGAGGCCGTCAGCAACTGGAAAAACAAAGAAAAATATATTTATTTTTATACTCAACTTCTAAATTCGTCTGGTACTACCTCTACTGCTATGTAAGCGTTCAGTACTGCCATAGATAAGTTGTAAGGTATGAGAAGCCACGTTAGCTGGAAAGGTTTCCTCTTCGCCATCAGTTTTGGACCTAACCACACTATAATTAGGTAGAGCAGAGTATAAAACATCGTTGGTACTGGCGAGTCTACCAACGGCCATCCTCTTGTCCGTTGATCTACAAAAATATTGTAAACGCTTAGAGAAATTAGAATGCTAAATGACGATATAAAAAATAAAGTCTTCTACCGGCAAATATTGTTGTACATATATACCTAATCTGACCTAATTTAACCTAATCCAATATACCTGAAAATTTATTATTTTTACTGTAAATCTATTATTAATTTACGATGAAACATGTATGAAAAGGATCATAATGGGAGACGTAAACTGGATTTACGGCTACGACATTGAGACAAAAGTTCAATCATCGTTATGGATTGGCAAAGGATCTTTAGGTCCCAAGAAATCACGTCAGTCTAATGTCCTCCTTACTCGCCAGATCTGGCTCCTTGCAGTTTTTTCTTATTTTCGAAATTTTAGACTGTTGATAACATCATTGCAAAATCGTCACAGACTTTAAAGGTCATCAAATTTTCAAATGAAGGTACCCAGGACTGCTTTTCGAAAAGGAAAAGTATTTGAATATGGGAGGGGAGTACTTTGAAGGAGACAAGGGCCAATAATGTATGAAATTAAAAGTTTAAAAAAATTAAGTTCGGTTATTTTCTGAACAGACCTGGTATAACGTATCCAAACAACTTCTATAATAACCTACATACATAGCAGCAATAAAATTTAATTTGTTTGATCTGTTTCAATTAACACTGCCTTTTATAGCTATTTTACATCAAGGAACAATGACGTGCACTGGAAGAAACAACTTTGCAAGAAGTATAAGTACTATGCAAGTAATTTTCTGCTTTTTAAAATCATTTCATTCACGTATAGAAAGAACGTGGGGGTAAGATATGAACAAACAAGCAACGTAATGTTTTGATAAATTAACGTAACCTTACCTGATAACGATAGAGTCCACAAATAGTAATCATAGGCTTGATGAACTAGGTTTTGTGTCGAGTTTATCACAAGTGCCATTGTTTCACTAAATTATAACTATGTATCTGAAATAAAACATAAAGTACTTTAGTGGCAATTTTGTAACGGGACTAGTGAAAAATGTTTGATATTTTAGTAGTTTGTGCTTTATTTATAAAGATTGTAATAAATTATGAATTGGTTGTTATGTAACCCGAAAATATTTGAAAAACTTTCAATTCCTCTGGCGGTTCTCTAAATAGTTCACTTTCACCACGATTAGTTATTACATAATAAAAAATTGAGATAAAACCGAATGTGAAAGGTATTTTTCATAAGAAGATACTAGATGTTGTGGAACACATTTTTATAGATAAATACTAAAAAAACTGTAACATATTGATATATTTCCTTGATACATCACATTATACAGATGTAATATACATGTTTCTTCCATTAATTATATTTGCATAGAGTAGGTACACAGCCACACAAAAAATTGACTTTCGGGCCCAGAGGTCAGACCATGTTTATTATACGTTTCTTGGGTTACTGAATCCATTTAACCCCATCACCTTAGGATTTTTCATAACCTCAAAAAAAAAACGATATCCTGAACAATTAAACCATATAACCATAAGACTCAAGCTTCCAACGCTAAGTCCAATCATCCAAATCCCATAAACATTTAACTCAAAGATATCCCGACCCCAATAACCCTATAACCCCATAACCAAGGGAATACATCATAGGCAATCTGTATTGCAAAACATCACATAGCTGAGGACTCCTTAAAAACCCAAGTACTCAAACCCAAAAAATTCTCATAACCCTATAACCCCATAACCCCGGAACTTCATAACCTCATAACTAATAAATCATAGGCAATCTGTATTATGGATAAACCTTAACGTGGATAAGGATTTCTTAAAATCCCCATGACCCTAGAATTCATAACCCCACGATTCCCTAACCACAACTTCATTACCTTGTACTTTGTTCTCATTCACCAAAGAACCGAGTGTTACAGTCGATCTAGCTTTTTTATAACTTTAATTGGTAGGACCATCGCGTCGACATTGGCATTACCCGATGTACCCCACAAAGTGGTTGCGCGATCGGATTTTGTACATCATATAGCTATCAGAAGAGCTTTTACCCAAAAAATTATATTACTAGAATGACGTGACTGCATAGGTTTTTAAGATATCCTCAACCACGTTAACGTTTAGCCATAATACAGACTGCCTATGATTTATTAGTTATGGGGTTATGAAGTTACGGGGTTATGGGCTTATAGGGTTATGGAAATTTTTTTGAGTACTTGGGATATGTGATGTTTTGCAATAATATAGATTGCCTATGATTTATTCCCTTGGTTATGGGGTTATGGGGTTATAGGGTTATTGGGGTTTGGGTTCATGCGCTTATTCGGTTGTGAAGCTTGAGTTTTAAGGTTATATGGTTTAATTGTCCAGAATATCGTTTTTTTTTGAGGTTATGAAAAATCCTGAGGTGATGGGGTTAAATGGATTCGGATTCAGTGACCAAAAAAACCTATAATAGACTTCTGCGCCCAAAAGTTTATTTTTTTATGTGGCTGTGTTATTTATATTTTTTAAATAATTATTAATGAAATGAAACATATTTAGTAGATGGAAGTGGTTTTAGCACATGAAGTAGTTGTATCCTACAATTTATTGAGAATTTTTGCAAGATTATTAGAGTTGGTTTGAATTAACTTCATATCTTTCAAAGAAACGTAAAAATACAGTTCTAGCATACTTTTCATGACTTTAAATACATTTTTCATTTGTTAAAATGTAAGAAATATTTGCAGCTTATTGATGTGGTTAAAACTTTCACAACTCTCAAAGGTACACTTGGGGTAGGCCACGTTAAAGGTCACACTAGTGCGAATTGGGGTTTTGCCAACTTTGAACCGTTGTCTTCTTTATTTGTTAACGAAAACATAAGGTATTTATATCAAAAGTGGGGTTAATTTTCCCAGAAATCGAATTATGTAATTAGTTTTGGAAAAAAATGAATTTCTTAATAAAAATTCGATTGAAAAAACATTTTTCGAAAAATGACTTTTTTTAAATCATATTTTTTATACATAATGTCTAAAGAAAAAGTAAAAAAAGGATTTTGAAGTTCAAAGTCTATATCTTTAAGAAAAAAATAACCCATATTGATAAAATGATTTTTTGAAGTAATTTTTGGCACTCTTTTCTGTAAATTGATGTTTATTTTACACTATTTTGTATAAAAATATTAATTTAAAGAATATTATCCGTAAATATTAACAAATACATGTTACAATTAAATTATTAACGAAAAAATATATTTGAAAAGTTATTAACAATAACTAAATAAACAATGTTTTAGTCTTTTCGACATGTAAAATGAGGTGAAAAAAAATCAGAAATTTGCATTTCAATTCACTTCATTTTTATATTAAATGATATAAATTCAGCCAAACTTTTGCCCACACTAAAGTCACACTCGTGCGAATTCGCACCGATCGGACTTTTTAGATTCTTTGATTTGGCCGACAATAATAGACTGGGGCCAGCTGCGGTAGGGCCAGCTGTCCAAAAAAAAGACGGTGGTGCGAATTCGCACTAGTGTGACCTTTGAAGGTTAACAGTCATTATATACACAATAATAACCAACTCTAAATCCTTGTATAATTGTGAGTTTGCGTATAAAGCTGTCCTAGGACTCTACAAGATCAAACCAGAGAAAGAATCAGGCCTTCAGTATTGCAAAACATCACATAGCTGAGGACTCCTTAAAAACCCAAGTACTCAAACCCAAAAAATTCTCATAACCCTATAACCCCATAACCCCGGAACTTCNTATATTATATGATATAAATTCAGCCAAACTTTTGCCCACACTAAAGTCACACTCGTGCGAATTCGCACCGATCGGACTTTTTAGATTCTTTGATTTGGCCGACAATAATAGACTGGGGCCAGCTGCGGTAGGGCCAGCTGTCCAAAAAAAAGACGGTGGTGCGAATTCGCACTAGTGTGACCTTTGAAGGTTAACAGTCATTATATACAAAATAATAACCACCTCTAAACACTTGTATTGCATGTGATTGCGTATAAAACTGTCCTAGAGCTCACCAGATCACACGAGAGAAATAATCTTGGCTTCGCTTTTTCTTAATAATTATTTCCAAGATATATGGTCCTTATATGTTGACAAAAATCTACCCAAATATGTAAAAAGGTGTTCAATTTAAACCAGATTGGTAGATGTCTCTGGAATCGTCGTTGAATCTTTGCAAATCATGAAACTGCAATTCTGAACAAAAAAATTAGTAACCATCTACTCAAGCGGAGAAATTGCTAGTTCTTGCAAAGCACGTACCGCCAGCATTTTTATGATCTTTAACTGCTATCCGCGTTCTAACCGATAATTAAATTGTCGCGAAATCCTTACGGCGCGGTCGGCCTTAAAAAAAAAGCATCTCGAATCAGTAAAAGTACAACGGAAGTAGAAAGAAAGCTTGTCGTGTGACAAGTTACATTCTTGGTTCCACAGTCTACAAACGGGCATCCGCGTCCTGATTCCGTCAAAAGTGAAAACGTGCCACAGACAGAATTTTGAATATTTATCTGTGGCATTTAGACGCGTTAAGGGTATAGGTCGGGGCAACTTCATAAATCGTTTTTAATGCTTTACGGAGCGGTATAAATCATTTTTCGCGAACGTGGATGTTTTATTTGGTGGTGTGGTTCGTGACAGTAATGTAATGGTTCGAAATATCGGTTCCGAATTTTACTTATACCCCAGAATAAAAGTTTTATTTTGTGCTTATACATAATATTTTAGGGGAATATTACCGCAAGGTCATTTTGTGAAAAATACTAGATATTTTCTTAAGGCTTGCAACACTGCCCACCATTTCAATGCACATTTGAAAAATAAATAATTTGTATTGCAACTGCACTTGGTAAAACTTATGCATACTAGATATAACAGATATTTAATTAATTGTCGTTCAGTACAATATTAATTGATTAGACAGTTTTGTTTTACTTGCTCGGTATTCAAAGCGATTAATAAATTATTAAAAAAAACATTACGGTTATACAGGGTTTCCCATTAATATTGCGAAAAAATTCAGGGGGGTTTCCTTGACCAAAAATATAAGAGAGGAGGTTCCTATATATGCTTCGTTTCGAAGATACAGGGTGTTGAAATTTAGAGAAAATACAAGGTTTTTACTAATATCTGGAGAACCCTAATTCCGATTTTTTTGAAATTTGGTATGTTTGTTTATAAAAACGGTAGACGTCTTCTGTCGTAGGCGTCCGGGGACTCACTCCTGTTGATATTAATAAGTAAACATATGAGACGTCACTGCTTTTTCTTAGGTGTCATATTTTTTTCTAATTATGCGATTAAAAATTAAACTTTTTTGTCTCTTTACTTTTTTTGATATCTTGCTTCGTTTTCGAGCAATAAATTAATATCCTTTCATATGCACATTTTTAAGGGAAGTAGAAAACAAAAATAGAAATTCAATGTTTTAGTTATTTACTAATCAACTTTAACAATACATTTGAAGGAAAAACAAAGTAACAAGCTGAGAAACAATAAATCACTAAATAATATTTTTTTAATAATTAATATTAACAAAAACATAAGAAAAAATATTTAACAAACAGCAATAATAGGAAATACAGGCATTTATCCTATGACACATTGATTGGCGAACCCGTTCAAATATTCCCGCTGTGTGTCTAATTGTTTCACAGGATGCGACAATGCGGTTTCTTACTTCGTCTATGGTTTGCACTGGAGTCGTATAAACCCAATGTTTGAGGTGACCCCAAAGGAAAAAATCCAACGAATTTAAGTCGGGAGACCTCGTGGACCAGGGTTGAGTGCCTCCTCGACCTATCCAGCGATTTGGGTAGATATTGTTCAAATATTTACGTGCAGCTAAACTGAAATGGGGTGGAGCGTCATCGTGCATAAAATACATTTGCAACCTTAATGGCAATGGGTTGTCTTCCAAAAGTACGACTAATTCATCCTCAA